ATTGCGAGTCGAGCGCCCTAACCACCTGGCCATGCCGGGCCATCTGTGGCTTACATGATATGTTTCTTCCAGCTAGCAGTTGGCAGTACAAAAAAGGAATACTATTGAAATTCTTCATATTCCGTGAAATTCATTAGCATAAATATCTTCATTGAGTTATACATTAGTAATTAAAGTAAATATATTAAATATACAATTATTTAATAGTGCTTATAAATTTTTACTAAATATTACGAAAGATTAGTCTTAGCCCCACGTAATCAGACAGATGCGCGTGTTAGTTGTTGTAATAATATTATGTAAACAACATTTCAGTTTCTGAGTTTATATATATATATTAGTACAATACGCCTATATTCTATGTCCAATCAAGTTATATAAAAGGCCATCTACGTACTTGCCGTTATAGCCAATAGCAATTAGCCATCATGACATTAACCAAAATGCAGCTGAGAAAAATTTGAGAACCATCCATATACTATAGAGATCAGTTGTTATAGTTAAGTAGTTTTCACAGGATTTGATCGTTTCCCCAGTTGTTGAAAAAAACCAAAACAGATAAAGAATGCGAGAACAATAAAAGAAATAGCTAATATCAGAAGTAATTATGTCTTAACTAGCGGTAAAAATGTTTTCTAACCCTAAAATCAAAAACACCGTAGGAAAATACGAGTGAATCATCAAAACCTTATCATAGCTACATTCATTAGAACATAGTAGTTAGTCAGTTAGTTGTTAATAAAGATTCTCTTCTACACTGGGGACAAAAATCAAAGGAAAAACGCTCATACTAAAAGGAAATAATAGATAAAATGAAAGGAAATAGCTAAATAAATACCCTTCCTTTCATAAAAGTGAATTAATAATGTCCATATCGAGCATGTTTTTATTATGTATTGAACTGATAAGATAGCTAAAGTGTAAAAACGTTAAGCCTTAATGTGAAATAATCATCTTTTTTAACGGCATGTTTGATTAAAAATCCAGTATTACGACATTATATCTCTATTCCGGAAAGACGTCGTTAATAATAGTATTTATGAAGAAAAAAAAAGATCTAAGTTAGTTGTAAGCACAATCTAGTGTTTCACTGAGAAACAATGCCTGGAAAACCCTGGTGGTTAAAGTACTTGGCTCGCAATCTTCGGATTGTGAGTTCGAATTCCATCACCAAACATGCTTGCCTTTTCAGCCGTGGGAGCGTTATAACGAGATGGTCAATCGCACTATTTGTTAATAAAGAGTAGCTAAAGAGTTGGCAGTGGGTGGTGTTGACTAGCCGCCTTCCCTCTACTCTATCACCTCTATATCAGGGACGGCAAGCTCTCGAGTAGCTTTGAGCGAAATTCAACAAACAAGCAAACAAACTCTTAGCACCGCTCGAGAACAGAAAATATTTATAGCTGACTAGTTTGAAGTTTTCTTAGAGGAAAAAAAACAAACAAAATAAATTGTTAAATAAATAAAAAATGCATTTCAAAATTTACCTCGTAGTTGCAGGAGATACAGGGGTCACGATTGGCAAGGACTGGTACCCTTAACTGATACAACTGTCCGTTGTACGTACAGCCTCGACCGTGGTAGACATTTGTTGTGACATTACCACTGCTTTCATCACTAGTGAAAGTTTTCGAACTGCAAACATCATCTTTACAACGGAGGCAACAGTCATCGTCGTATCTAACGGGATGATTACACGTCACCGGTGGACACTCTTGCTCCCAGCAGTCAACCTCTCCAAACTACAGTAATAAGAACAAACAAACATAAACTCTTAAAAAGTACTTACAATTACTGTTTTTAGCCACAAGGATTTGTTGTTTGTTTTGTTTGGAGTTAAGCACAAAACTATACAATGGCCCACCACGAGTATCAAAACCCGGTTTTTAGCGTTATAAGCCATAAGGAGAAAAGTACTCTAAATGTAGTGTTTACGTAAACAGTGTCTTGGTTCATGTTTTTTTTTATGAAAATGCCTTAATAGAAGCACATAATTTTCCTTTTATGTCTTCCTCCATTTCTAAACTACAAAAAAGTAGTGTTAACATGAAGTTTTGGAAAATAGTGAAAAAATTTACAGTGATTGATAATAAATTATCTGGACAACCATACTAAACTACAACAAAGTAGTTTTAACTTCAACTTTTGGAAAATGGTGAAAACAAAATGTACAGTGATTGATAATAAATTATCTGGACAACCATACTAAACTACAACAAAGTAGTTTTAACTTCAAGTTTTAGAAAATAGTGAAACAAAATGTACAGTGATTGATAATAAATTATCCGAACTACCATAATAGGTTTAAAAGTATGCAGAAAATGATAGAAAAAACAAACAAAAACACTATGTTTCAAAACTTTCAGAGATGATCCAAAGTATAACTTTGAGTCTTAACATCAGTAAAGCTATTTGTGAACAAGGGACTGGCAAAAGTCTATGAGACATTTTATTTCTTACTTACTAAACATTCGCAAACTTGACACTGATAAACCCAGCGTTCTCCATTACGAAATATTCTTGGCACTTCCTGATGACGACAGAAAGTCGTGACGTCACACTGCGGGCAGCACCCTAGATCAATGTCAGTCCTGCTACAATCACACGTCTGTTTCTGGCACGTGACAACACCACTATTACACGAGCACTCTGTGCAAGTCGATTCTGCTGCTAACCAAGTCTCGCCATCTCGTGTTTCGGTTCCATAATACATACAATCTGGAATGAACATCAGAACTATCAATGTATTGACTAAGATACAAATTATAATGGAAGCGAAAAGAAACCTATCTACTTAATTGCCTCTTTTCAAATTTCAACTTAAGATATCCTAGTTTTTATTCTTAGAACACGAAGCTTTTTCTTCAACTTCTTATGCTATTGATAACAACTCATATTGTAGCATAAATTCAAAATGTATATGTGCAATAAATGATTACTAATATTTTGCAAAACAATTTCAATAAGGTACGCATAGTTGAATTAAATAAACTCATCTAAGAATCAAAATCTAGAAAAGTTGTCACTTACAAAAATTAATCACTTTCAGCATTTTATTCGCTGTAATTTCGGATTTTAATGATAAACTATCTACTACTTGACAAGATGTAAACTCACTTAGGGAACACGTAGAATTTTCTTTACAGTCACACTTATAACCTCCTTCTTTATTGACACAGACAGTTGAATGGTGGCATGTATGCGAGTTACTGGTGCATTCGTTGATATCTAAGGAGAGAGAAAGTTTAATAAAGTTAGGTGCATGCACGTACAAAACAGTCTAACTAACCCACACTTGCACATACAAAACAATCTAACTAACCCGAACATGCACGTACAATATAGTCTAACTAACCCAAAACACATTCAAAGACAAAGAGGCTAAAGTTTGAATTTTTTTTCTTACTTTACCACAATAACACAGGCCTGCGATGTTTTATTGTCTTGACATTTTTACTTGTTCTACAGTAATTCTTGTACGCTGAATCCGAAAATGATATTCATTTTTCTCCATCACGTACAGATTTTTCACGAAACGTCTTAACGCAATACATAAAAGAAAGACCACAACACGTAGTTTTGAGACTAAAAGACGTAGATTTCACACACACAAAAAATCAGGATGAATGACGATGCATATTCGTTGGACATCAATATTCTTCCCCTTT